ATCTTTAGTATCTAATTTCTAATCAATATAAACTTAGAGGATTGAAAAAAAAAAAATTAATGATTTTTGGGAAATAGTTGTTAGTGAAATGAATTAGCGGATTTAACTAGCCAATAAGATTATCTAGTTATAGAAAAATATTTGGTAAATTAGTTGTTAGTTGATAGCTGATAGCTGATTACATGCAAAATAATCATTAAGGATATAATTTTTTTTTTCCCAAAAACCTACTTTAAGCAGCCTTTTGAATTTTTATATTTTTGAGCAATAAGCTATTACAAAAAACTAATTAATAATCAAACACTTATATTGACTATTTAATAAAGTCAAACATTTAATAGTGATCAAATAAGTCAAAATTGACTGATAAGCTAAACCTTTTATCAAATGCAAATTGTGCAAGAGATTAACCCCCAACAGCCCAAATAATATGATAAAACAATTTATTGTTACGATTTTGTTTTACCATTAGCAATTACTAAATTATATAGCAGTTTACTAATTTTGTTAATTAATCTAACCAATTGATAATATTATATATTTGTGGATAAATATTTAGTAAAATTGTATATTATTAACCAATTAATCTACATTGCCTGTTATGCATATTATGGCTGATTCTTTTGAGGCTTGGTTTCTTGAGATTATGAAAGAACTCACCAATAATTAATTTATTATGGCAACAGCGGTTCTCTATTATATATGGCGGGCAAGGAACCAAGCAGTATGGGAGCATGCTCTACCGATGCCCAAACGGGTTGTGAATGCGGCGACATCTGCGTGGCAAGCATGGAGCACAGTGCAGGGAGGACCAGCCACGGTGGTACATACTGTGCCTACTGCCACGGCTGGAGGTGTGCTGCCGAGAGTGTACGTCGACGTCGGATTCCACGCGTCGGATGGAACGGCAACGGCAGGCGCGGTTGTAGTCTCAAACGAAGGGGAGTTTATGGCATGCTTCAACATGCGGCTACCTCATTGTCTATCCCCATTAATGGCAAAAGCTTTGGCATGTAAGGAGGCATTATCATGGTTGAAGGATAAAGGATTGCTCGCGGTACAACTACATACGGATTGCCGTAATCTACAACACCACTTAACAACACAAGCCACACGGATGCGAACATACATTGGCTATATCGTGGATGGATGCAAGACTATTTTGTCGTCTTTTAATTTATGCACAGTTATTTACATTCCTAGATTAGAAAATTTTATGGCGCATTCATTAGCGTCGCATGCTTTTGCACAGACTCATTCGATGTACTGGGATATTACCCCACCGAATTTTATTGCAGCCTATCTCTAATATAATCACCTTCAATGGTGGCTTTTCAAAAAAAAAAAAAAAAAAAACTATTAAGTGATATTAAGTAAAATGATTTTAAATTAAAAACATGAGTATTTAAGTACAATTCATAATAATGATTTATTATTTATATAATAAGTGAATTTAATAAATATTAATTACTGTAATATTTAAGCAAACATTTTTAATAAATATTATTTATAATAATAAAATAGCAATTAAAGATCATTTATTTAATAATAAAAAATTAATAAAATATCTTATTTTCACACTATTTTTGTCAAATAAAAAATAAATAAAACTTGTTGGTTTAAAATGAAATTTTCAAATGAAGATGGAGAGAAGGAATCTTAGGGGGTGTATTCAATCATGACTTTTGTAGAGTTTTAAAGACTTTTAAAATGATAGATTTTAATAAACTTTGATTGACTTTCATAGAGTCGTTCAAAACTTTACTAGACTCTATAAAAGTATATATAAAAAACATTCATAGACTTTTATCAACTTTTTATTTTAAAAAGTCTACAAAAGTCATTGAAATTCTTAATTGAATACATCCTTACAAACTTTCAATGATTTTGATTCTTATCATTTATAATTTTCTTACAAAACTTTTATAATATATCATAAAATCCTTCTTATTATATAGTTCTTCACCCACATCAACATTCTCAACATTATTATTTTTATCCATAGTATGTCGAGACTTCTAATTACTTTTATATACATACATATATATATATATATATATATATATATATATATATATATATATATATATATATATTATTAATCAACATCAACAAAAAAAAAATTATTTCATTAGAAATTCATAACAATATTGAACAATAAAATTTATAATAAAATAATTGATCAAATTAAATATTTAAAAATATAATTACAAGTTGCATAAATAAAAAATAAAAATCTAATATTAATAATATTTATATAAAATTATACTTGATATATTGCTAGGCATCACGCAAAGAACTATTATTTGCAATAGCAATTTGAGACTGCGAACAACAATAAGGTGCTACTGTTAGCAATCACAAATTGTTGTTGCGAACAGTAGTTCGCTATTTGTAGTAACTTGTTGTTAAAATATATATATATATATATATATATATATATATATATATATATATATATATATATATATATATATAAAACGAATATAAACAGAAAAAAATCAAAATTAAAATCAAAATATATAAGTATTTATATGAATATTATGAAACATATATTAAAATTTGAAGATAGAAAAATTTGCTTTTTTCATGTATTTAGGGAGAATTAGAGAAAGTTAGGGATAAAAAATTCATAGAAAAAATAAAAATCAATATAAACAAGCAATAATGAAGTAAAAATAATATTATTTCGAATTTTTAGATAAAGATTATAAAGTTTAGGAGAGAGAGAAAATTGGTAAAGTTTAGGTATGAGAAAAATATAGGATTTTTTTTTGAAAACTACTGGCTCTATTACATTGTAGTATCTGTTCATATACTTTCTCAACCTACTGAAACACAAAGAACCAATAACGCCTCCACTGAGGCTCGAACTCATAATCTTCCAAATGGAAGTCCAACACGGATACCATTAGACCACATAGTCATAGTGAGAAAAATATAGGATAATGAAGAAAAAAATAATTTTATTGAATTTAGATAGGTTTATAAAGTTTAAATATGGAGAAAATAATAGAGTTTAAATAGAGAGAGAAAATATTCAAAGTTGTTAGAAAGAAAATTTTGAAATCTTGGGGTTGATGGTTGGATTTCAACTATTTATATTTGAGAATGAAAAGTCTCCAAAAGTCTTAAAATTAAAAAGTCTACAGAAGTTCATAACTTTTTTAATACCACATGACTTTTAAAGACTCTTTAAAAGTCTTAATCGAATACCACACGACTTTTAAAGACTCTTTAAAAATCTTGATTGAATACCGCCTGACTTTTAAAGACTCTCTAAAAGTTTGAATTGAATACCTTCAAACTTTTAAAGTTCATAAAAGTCTTTAAAACTCTATGAAAGTCATGATTGAATACACCCCTTAATTATGGTTTGATAAAAGAAGATGTCATCTAAAGGAATTTGATAATTTCATTACCCAAAAAATAAAATAAAAAATAAAAAAATCAAAGTGGAACGTTGCTTCCTATTGTTCACCATTAACAAAATTTGAGATATTTTTGTTACAAAAGTAATAAGTGTATTACTCTCAAGAATAACACTTGAGTGGCACATCCCCATTTTTTTTTTTTTTTTTTTTTTAGTGTGGTTTGTTACAATGTAGGATTTGTTCATAGTTACCGTTCTCACTGGGTTCAAATTCATGACCTCTCATTTAGAAAATCGAGTCACTTCATGCCACTAGACCACAAGGTCATTGGTACGGTAATCCTTATTTTATTTATTAAAAAAAAATTAAAAGTATAATTCATTTTTAAAAATTAATTAAAACATCCTAGGTCAAAATACAACATAATTTAACGCCCATTAAGTCGATCTATGGAAAGAATTTGTTTTAAAAGGGTGAGGCTTTAGTCTGTTGTTCATATAGCAATACTCACTAGGGCTAGCGACTATAGTTGCATGTGTATGTCACTTTGTTGTCACCTTTAATTTCACCTTTTTACTTTAAGGTGGTTTGATTTTTGTAATGGAAAATCTTGAGATACCAATCATATCTACGGAGTATTAAATCGTGAGAGACCAATTAAGTTAATTTATGTTTAATTTATATGGAGCAATTAAATTAAAAAAGAGTTGTAAATTATCAATACTTACATTGTGAGCTAGGCTGTTAATGACTATGTAATAGTAAAATTGAATATGATACATTATATTATGAATACCAAAATACTATAATTGCAACACATCAACCAATAATGAGATATGTTTAAGAGGTAAAGAAAGAATTTATATTATAGATACAAAGGAACGATTAATTAATTAAAATGTATGATGAAATGTACCTAATAAAAAAAGCTGATGTTGAAGGACATACATGCATCCAACAAGAATAGTATAGTGAATTATTGGTGATGCTTTTTGCAAAGTATATATGGTAGGAGTAATACATAAGATAGATGAGAGAATTAAGTGGATGGGGATGCAAACAAACCATGCCACTTGGACGCAATTAAGTCCCTATCCCCCAAAAGAGGTTAACCATTTGGAAAATGATATATGCATATATATAAACTCTTATGGAGTAAAACATTTAATTTGCTAAGTTTGTGATTTGATTGATAAAAAAGAAAGAAAATAAAAATAAAAATTGTGATTCATTGCTTTCAGAAAATTAGTATAGTAGATGAGAGTTTCTACTTAAAACTTGTTTCGAGCAGACATGGTGAGAGAATTATTAAGAGTTGGGCTTTGATTGGACTTTTTGTGTGCAGAAATGTTAAGTCTTAAAATTGACTCAATTTATCTTTTCATGAACATCGAATTCATGAGGTCTAAGATATAATATAACGAAATGGACCAAGTACTCGGATCAGATAATATGTTATAAGGATGGTGGTCTTGACACAACTTCTACTAACTTGATGATGGGATGAGTTTGAAATCCACTAAGCATGCACGCACCACATTAAAGCAACACATACATCTTATCATCCTCCAACAACACAAACATTAAAATATATTTGGCTGCTTTTCTCTAACCTTTTGACTACACATACCAACCCGCCCACGATATAATACACTCTGATCTGATCTGATCGATCTGCAGATGGAGTGAATATATCCTAGTTAGTTAGTTGGCATGAAAAATGGCATTCATTTTGTTCTTGGACACCATCTTGGTTCCCTTGAGTCTCTCCCTCACCATCGGCTACCATGCCTATCTCTGCCACCGCCTCAAGCACAAACCCGCCGCCACCACCATCGGCCTCAACATGCTCAAGCGGAGGTCCTGGCTTCAGGATTACAATCAGGCAAGCCCCGACCCCACCCCCTTTAATCTTCTTTTATATTTGTCACAACGAAATAAACTCGCCTAAATTGCTCATCACTACTAATCAGGGTTACAAAAATCCCGCCTAGGCACCAAGTAATCGGCGCCTAGGCGCTAGGCGCTCCTAGGCCGTGGCGATTTCACCCCTAGGCTCCCGCCTAGGAGACCGGCCGCCTAGGCGTCCGCCTAGCGCCTAATTCGGCCGCCTAGCGCCTAACTCGGCCGATTACGCCGAGTTAACTCGTCAATTTCTGTCGAGTTAGCCGAGTTAACCCGGCCGATTCGACCTTGCTAATTTTTTTCATTTATATGACATATATATATATATATATATATATATATATATATATATATATATATATATATATGCACCTATGTATGTATGTATGTATAATATGACATATATGCACCTACACACATGCACTGTTTTCATTTTTTCAGTTAGCCGCCTAGGCTGCTTAGGCCCCGCCTAGGCCGTTTAGGCGTTAGGCGCTATTTTACCGCCCGACTAGCGCCTAGCGCCTATTGCAACCATGTGACTAACTCAATTCAAAAAGATAATTCTTAAAATTATCAAATCAACAGTTTAACTCATTTGGCTGAGTTGTCCCATCCATGCTAGGTTTTATTTAATTTTATGTAATATATATATACTCCCTCCGTCCCGAATTGGATGTCTCATTTACTTTTTGCACGCTTTTTAATGAATTAAAGTAAATGTTATGCACTTTCCAATTATGCCCCTCACTTTTTCACTTTTGGAAATAAAAACAATAAAGAAAGCAAAAGCTAGAAGGGTAATTTGAAAAAAGTATAATGATGGTGATGTTCAATTTTGGAAAGTGGACAACATTTTGGGACAAACTAAAAAGGAAAGTAAGACACATAAAATGGGACAGAGGGAGTATATATATATATATATATATATATATATATATATATATAGTCATTTAAAGGAGTTACAAATTGTGAGTTTAAAAATGAGTATTTCTAACCACCCAATTAATTAGAAACTAACAATCACACCACTTTGAAAATTTGCAAAATTCTTGGTCAATCTTTCTAACTAACCTAGAAAGTGGTTTGTAACTTTGGTCAAGTAGTAGTTGTTGGGCATTTTCGTGGTTTTCTGCCCATTAATATATGGTAAAAAGTTAGTCATTCGAGAGGGGAATCAAGGTTAGTTGACATCTAATTGTCCATTATATTTTTCTTTCTTGTAATTTTAATTCCATGAAAATTAAAAGAATACAGATTAAATACGTTATTATTGAATTACACACTAAACTGCAATAGACTATTCAATTCCAAAAAAAAAAAAAAAAAAAAAAAAAAAAGTTACAATCCCGTCCATGAACCGTGCAAATTAAAAAAGTAACTTGTTGACCGGGTAATTAGATGACGTGGCAATTACCAAATTCATTTTTATTTTATTCTTCCAAAGGCAAAGGATGAGAAACAAAATATTTAGGGAAAATTGTCAAATAGACCTTGGAACTTTAGCTGAAAAGTCAATTAGTTCCCTATACTTTTTAAAAAGTGAAATTACATCTATCAACAATTTATTTTGATGCAATGAAATTCAAAAACCGATTAATGACCTGCTATCACAGGTCATTAAGGTTCCAACCACCCTTCGGTAAAATTTTAGGCAAAAAGTGACCAACAAACAATCACCGGTCACGAAGATCGAAGGAGACCAAGGTCGCCTTCATTGGGTCGCCTTCTACAGTGGCTGCCTTCGGTGGAGAAGTCAACCTTGGTCTCCTTCTCTGTGACCGGCAACCGTTATTAGGTCACCGATCACTTTTTTACCTGAAATTTTGTCGGAGAGTGGTCGGAACCCTAATCACCTGTGATAGTCATTAATCGATTTTTGGACTTTATTGCATCAAAATAAATTGTTAATAGATATAATTACACATTTAAAAAGCTTAGAGGGCTAATTAACTTTTCAACTAAAATTCGGGGGTCTATTTAACTATTTTCTCAAATATTTATATTGATTATATGGAGGATGAAAGTACGTATGTATATATTATTGTAACAGTAGCGAATTGAATTCCGATCCATGTAGGGAAATGACAAGAAGGGTATGTTAGCGGTGCAAAGCCTGAGAAACACATTAATGGCGTCAATCCTGACGGCCACAATCACAGTGATCATCGTCCTTTCACTGGCGGCTCTCACCAACAACGCCTTCAACGCCGCCTCCCACCTCTTCCACGGCCCACTACTTGGCCTACATTCCGCCCATCTCATCGTCCTCAAATTCGCCTGCGCCGCCATCTTCCTGCTCGCCAGCTTCATGTGCAGCTCCATGGCCATCGCCTGCTTGATCGACGCCAACTTCTTGGTCAACGCGGTGGGGGGCGACTTCTCCGCCTCGCCGTCGTACACGCAGACGGTGCTGGAACGAGGTTTCAAGCTGGCCGTGGTGGGCAACAGGGCGCTTTGCATGGCGTTTCCTGTGTTGTTGTGGATGATTGGTCCGGTGGCCGTCTTCGTTTCCTCGGTGGCGCTGGTTTGGGCGCTGCACGGCCTCGATTTTGTCCGCGACTTTTCGGCGATTGCCGGAAAAAAACAGTCTGCACAAATTTTCTAGTGTTTGATGACCTCATGTTAGAAAATTACTTTTTCTATTTGGGTGAAATTTAATAAATTGTATTTTGTCTATTTGATCTATTTTCAAGAAAATGTAAATACAATTATTTGTTATATAATAATAATAATAATAATAATAATAATAATAATAAATAAAATTAATGTTTTTAGTCCATTAATTATAGCTATATGATAGGTAGACTCAATCCATGAATTATTATATAATACATAAAATTGTTTGATTTAATTATGTGTAAAGTGACAAATTTAGTTCACCACTAACAAATTATGTTAATATTAATAATGCATTTTAAAATTTCAAATTATTGAGGGACACCACAGTCATTTTTTTTTTATCTATATCGATCATTTTGTATTAAATAATTAATTAATCATTGAGTTTGATAAACACATTTTTTTGTCATTGGAATGTAGCTAAAAATTAACATTACACTTCAATTTCGCAAATTATTGAAAAACATTAGTAGTTTTTCACACACACACACACAGATATATACCGATCCTATTCTCTTCATTTGTAATGAAGATTTGCTATGATCTAATATGCTTTTGTGTGTGTGTGTGTGTGTGTGTGTGTGTGTGATGTGTTGTTGCAAATGGAAAATTGAAAATGCAATTGTGGTATAATCACTACTCTTTTTTTTTAAAGAAAATGGAAATGACATATATATGAATTAAAAGTGCTTATAGATTGAAGACTCACTCTAACTTATTGACATGAAAACAACATACTTAAATTCGTAATATTTATTTCAACTAATAATGATGGAGAATATACCCCGGGTTTAGGCTCCACGTTTGCTCCGTGCTCCTGGTTGGGTCGGGTCAAACGGTTCGAGCCAGGGTCAATGGGTCAAGGTCAACCCGCCAACTCTGGATCCTATAAATAGGGTCTTAGCCCTCCAAGTTAGGGAGTTCCTTCCCCTCTTCCTCCCTAGAGCTCTCTCTCTCTAAATGTTCTTCCTTCTCTCTACAAATATGAACATCAATGAATAAAAGAGATCCTGAGCTACTTCTTGTATACTCTATATATTTTTCATACATTTTACATACACCGTACATACGCGAGAATTACCCGTATCAAATAATATTTAGTAAACTTAAAAATCAAAATATTGAATTTTTAGCTACATACACTCCAATGGCACAAAAATGTATATATATATATATATATATATATATATATATATATATATATATATATATATATATATATATATATATATATATATATATATATATGTAAAACTCAACGACTAATTAATTATTTAATACAAAATGACTATGGTATTCCTCAATAATTTGAAAATTTAAAATGCATTATTAATATTAACATAATTTGTTAATGGTAGACTAAAATATGTGTATGATAATAATTAATGGACCGAGTCTACAATATGAATATAATTGATGGACTAAAATCACCATTTTTTCTAATAATAACACCACAACCACCACCACCACCAACAACAACAATAATAAATGGTGGTGATGGTAGTGGTGTGGTGGTGTGGTGGCGGTGGCGGTGATGGTGATGGTGGTGGTGGTGGTGATAGTGATAGTTGTTGTGGTATGGTGGTCATAGTGGATGGTGTTGTGGTAATGTGGTTGTTGTGTGGTGACTGGTGGTTGGTGGTGGTGGTGTGACGATAGTAGCAATAATCTAAAAACTAACTTCTAGAGAAATGATAATTTAAAAAAAAAAAAAATAGACGGAAAAATAAATTATGGTGTTAGTAGGTACAAGTGTACAACTATATAAAAAAATTGAGTTATAGTAAGTCATCTGGTACATTTCATACCTATACCTAGAGAACCTTTCAAGGCGTATTAGGACTATGTATTCTAGGCACACTAGAATTCATTCTCCCTCAGTTCTCTATGTATTATTGGGAATATTATCATTTACCATTCCTATATTAACTAGAATTCTTTGTATTCTTCTCCCAAATACTGCCCACTAAACCATTGAGCTAAGCCCGTGCGGAAAATTCTTTGTATTCTTAAAAATACATATTTTCGTGTACTTCAAACATTATGAATGATTAATAATACGATTATTCCCAGAACTATTGTTCTCATCTTGATGAATAAAGAAATAAAAGAAATGTAAAATTAATTATTAATATACACTTTGACTATGTTTGGCAAATCTAGCTGAAAGCTGAAAAGCTAAAAGCTGATAACTGAAGAGCTGTTAACTAGCTGATTATTGCTTAAAAGTGTTTGGTAAAATTAGCTTTTTGATTAGCGGATAAATGTAAAAGACTAAAAAGGACATTTTCATAAAATTTAAATGATGTGATTATTATATTGTTTTTATATTATTAAATATATGAGATATATTTAATTTATAAAAAAAGTTTTTGTTTTTATAATAATATATATGAGATATGTATTAAATTAAAACAAAATAAAAAAAAGTTATTAATTGGTAAGGATAAAGGATGTCATTTATTTATGAACGGACGATTGGAGTTAGAACTTTAAGGAGTTGTTGGGGGTGGTGAAGAGTTGCGGAAGAATATGAATGAAAATATAAGAGAAGAAAAAAAATGCCAAAAGACTTTTAACTCTGAAGGATAAAAGATGTCATTTATTTAAAATAATAAGGATAAAGATAGAAAAAAGTTAGGAAGCTCCTAACTTTTTCAAAATAAGCTCTTACTTAAGAGCTTATGTTACTGACTTTAGTCTCCACTTGAGGCTCAATCTCATGACCTTTCACATGGAAGAAGTCACCACCAGGGCCGGTCCTATCATTTTATAGGCCCGGGGCGTAGGAACACAAATGGGCCCTACATGAAATTAATATATATTTGCATAACTACATAAAAAGTATATTAATTACAAATAACTTGAAATAAGATATACAAGTTTTTAACAATTTTGCATATAGAGTAATAATATTGAAAACAACTCTAGATGTTTTGGTTAGTTATAAATGAATTTCCTTTGTTGGCTTAAAAAAATTACAAAATATTCAATAATTGCATATGTGACTTCATAAATAAAGAATTCTAATTTATAAAAGTAGATAAAAAATTTAAAACCAAATAAACTTATAGACAATCACATTGTTATTATAATAAAAAATAAAGTAATTATTAATCAAAATTATAAAACACAACTTACAAATAAGAGTAAAACATGAAATCTTAATTATTGATGCAATAAATCAAAAACACTTTAAAAGTGAGAAATGATATTCATAACAAAATATAAAACATGATTAATTAGATAAAATAGTTCGAATAGAAAACACATTATAAATCATGCATATTCTCTATTGGTATCATATTTATAAATATTTTTTTTTTTAGTTAGTTAGATCAATTTCAAGTCTTTTTTAGATTAATTTGAATAGAATGACGTATAATAGAACTTCTAAACAACATTGATTAGATAATTCATAAAAAAAATAAACTATCTTTTAAAATAATTTCATAACTAAAACACAAAATATATTACATATACATAAATCATTATAAGGTTCACAAAATAACACATGTTCTAAATATTAGTAAATTACTCAAATAGAAATAGATTCAAAACTTGTTTTAAATCACAAAACAATCTATATTATAAATCTCACTATTATAAGTATAAAAATATAAAAAAGTCACATAATTACAATTCAAAAAATACGGTTAGAAATAGAAATAAATTCTATACGTACTATATAATATTCCTAAATTCATCTTCTAAAGAGTAGTGAAGGAAAGTTAAATTGTATAAATTATAATTTTAATACTATATATAATATAATATCCCTAAATTGGTCTTGGGTGAAAAGCTTTAAAGTTAATAACAATAATAATATTAATATATATATACATATATATATATATATCAAGCCATGGGAATTCGACCCCTGGACCTCAACATTAAGGTCCACAGCTCCAACCACCTAAGCTACGTTAACTTCATTTGACCGAAATGTATATAAATTACTTATCTACCATCATAGTATATATATAAGGAGCGGTGAACTAAGGTGGGCCCCTTTCAAGTGTGGGCCCTGGGCAAGGGCCCAGCTCGCCCTTGCTCAGGGCCGGGCCTGGTCACCACATACCATCTGAGCAGAAGGTAAGTTGAAGAATTTAATTGCAATACATTTAAAAAATTTGATTGTAATTCAATTACATTTTGATGTGTATCTAATGACATATTTGATAATTATTACTTTAATTTTTATTGATAAACACGGCACATCAACTTTTTCATTGAATTCAACATTTCAACCTCATGCACTATCCTTTCACCTTTTTTTTTTTTTTTTTTTTTTTTTTTTTTTTTTTTTGAGGAAACTATCCTTTCACCTTTATTGACACCTTTATCTTAATTTTAATTTTAAATGGAATTTAAAGTCACCTCTTATATTAAATACTAGCATTTTGTACAATGCGCGAAAACTTATGCCTAATATTAAAATATTTGTAAGTAACAAAATTTAAAAAATTAATTAAAATTATGTTTTGCAATTTCTTAAAGTGATGATACTTTTGAATTATCATATTTTTGAATAATATAGTAATCAAATCAAAAATAATAATAATAAAAAATTATATTTTTATATAATAATAATTTACAAATAATACTAAGCTAAGACTCATATATATGATATATTGATATGGATACACAAATAATATATATATATATATATATATATATATATATATATATATATATATATATGTATGTATGTATATGATACGCATATATAATTTAACATTCATATAAATATTTAATTAAAATATAATTTATAATTAAATTAATTGTTATATGATAATTTTAATAAAATGATAATTAAAAATAGGAAAAAGATATGATAGATGTAGGTGTATGGTAAGATCGGTAGATATATTAAAAACTAACGGTGTTATAACGGTGTAAGGGTGATTTTGTCCAATGCAAATGAATGTACAACAATTAAAGCAAAATGTATATATTTATTAGCATATAAAAAAAGGACAAAAATCAAGGACATAACTTGTATTGATACTTATTATGTTTTTAGACTACGGAGTATTTCAACATAATTTTCCAAGGGCATACTTTTCAA